ACCAATCATGACGTGACACCAACGAACTGTACCAGGCATCGAGGACGGTCCGCAAAGTCCTGTAAGATGCTATAATATACCATAATATACGGCCGAGGCCGCTGCGCGGCCCCAAGAGCAGCGTCGGTATGCCGTCCTCGGAGCTAGGACATGCGGACACTGGCAGCGCAAGGGCTCTCCCAGTGTGGGCTGATTGGAGCTACATGGGGCATATCTGCAGGTTTGGGTGTAGAGCTCTGTCACAAGCCCAAGCCCTTCGCAAGCTCATCGAGACCGCACTGGGCAACACAATACGTAAGTTTCTGAAGTATCTACTTCGAACAACCCTGGGTGGAATTATGATCTCGGTAACGACGCTGTGGGCGAGGTGGCACTCCGGGGATATCCTGCCGCTTTGGGAGTGGGCACATCAGCAATGGAACCGAAAACGGCACGCGTTCGCCTATCTATCGAAAGCAGAGTTCATCAACAAATAAAGGCCGGAATAGGTGGAAAGAAAGGCTCGGATGTTACTGCTGATTTCAACCTATACTATTACCACTATCTTCTTCCTATATTATTACAACTAGTATTACATTATATCTTATGTCATTAAATATTACCAATAAGAATCACCTAATCAAATCTACAATGATATAAAACTAGACCTATAATATAATGATAACCTACAGAAGGATTTTATCATTTACATAGTTGTAAATCCCTGGTTCCGTTCATTCCTCTTTTGCCGCCCCTGAATTAAATCGTGCTTGAATTCCGTTTCATTCTTTCGCTCACATTTCTTTATATTTAAGTCATGCAGCAAAAGGAACGAACCAGCTATTTACTTTCATANNTTCATAATCTTCTAATTTCGGTAGATACCAGAGTTATAATTGAGGTGTAGTTTCCCGGGTAAATATTATGTTAGAAGGTAGCTATATATCCTGGTAATATTATAACCACGTAGTAGGATCTCAGATTGCGTTCCTACTCCGTACACATGTACGTACACAACACTCATCATACCATTAAGATTCATACGTAGCTCTGCATGCCACATGGTTTGGTGACAAGTTGCCACACATTCGACAAATTGTGTGGTCCAGTAGCGGTTTCCGCAGGGCTTCCGTCGGAGACCGACCAGACCGTGAGTATACAGACCCTAAGCGATAGGGTTCCCGCCACACAGGCGGCCAAACGGGAACCCCGTAGCGTCAACAAATCTCACTCGGCATGTGGTGTGGCCTGAGGCGAGGGCTGGGACAGGTACCTGCCACAGACACCGTGCTACCAGAACAATAAGCAGCCAATGCTTCAGGACATGCCTTGACCGGGTGAAACTTTGAAACGTTCCTTCAACTGATGCATTTCCCCATCTGCAACCACTTGATCTTCTGATGGCTACATGGGCCGTCCCGGCATGAGCACCGGGGAAACATTGAGGGGGACGAGTATGTGAGCTTGAAGCTTGCTTTGGCATAGCATTTTTCGGTAGGCTCATAGCTGTCCAGGATGCCCAACCAGCTGAGCCTCCAAACTCGAAACCTCACCTGAATGAGACCCGGAGCGCACTCCAGAGAGGTGCGCAGGGGCAATGCCGGCGAAGCACGATCGCCTCCGCGCGCTCGGGGCTGCTGAGGGTGACAAACCGTCTGGAGAGCCTTCGCTGAACGGTTCAGGAGGGTTCGAGCCGGGGTTGTTCGCAAGAGCTGCGAAAGAGCAGCCAGGCCGTGGAAAAAACTGCTTCAGGAGAGTCTGATTGCAACAAACCAGGACCCTCCAAGACGAGCCCGGCGCTGGCCAACCACGCAGTGCCTTCAGCAGAAGCTCAGCACACAGAGCTACAATGTCCACTGGCCAGTTGCAAAGTATGCGATGCCTTTCCAGGTCTCAGCCCTCACGTCCTTAAGCCGGTCCCTTATGGTCCCAGGAGCCTTGGAGGCTCTGGCCCAGGGCCAACAAGAAGCGCTGGTCTTCCTGAGCACATGCGGCTCCAAGTCCGACTCCTCAGTTACGGGGCGTCGAACTCAGAACCGCGCCACAGCCGCCGAGCCACCTCAGAGCATGAGAATGGCCACGGCCGAACCCGGTCTCCCGCGCAACTCAGACTTGGACCAGGGAAGTCACAGCAGTCGCGGGGGCCGAGATCGATTCCTGAGTGCTTTTTGTCAAACCTTGGTGACATCGCCGGCCCCTGATCCCCACTGCTGCGGCCTGTCATTCCCAGATCCGGCTGCGAGGCAGGGGCGCCTGGGCCGCAAACACTTGCACCCGCTGCCGAATTGCGCCAAGCCCTGCAAATACTGGACACGAAATCGTGGAACAAACAATATGCAATATTTACACGACATACTACAAAACACTGTAGCACACTACAAGCCATAGAACACTATCATCATATTCTATAACCTGAGTTCCAAGCCGGATGTCTGCAGATCATGCCTTGCAATCTCAGAACGACTAGCAAGCTGTGGCTCCAGGCACTGCAGCATAGAAAAGCAGGGTGCGGCGAAGCCGCTGAACGGTTTCAGCCGCCGTCGCCAGCAGTCCGAAGATAGGCCATCCGGAAGCGTACACCTCGTTGCTGCACCCTTGCTGTAGAATGCTGTAGGCAGGATGTTGCAGCTTTCATGAGCTACTGCATCACTGCCAGAAGCTCAGTGCGAGGCGTCCCAGTACGACAATGGCACTGCTTTCTGGAACGTGACGCCGCCAAACACCGACGTTCCTAGGATCGGCATGTCTGGAGGGTGACAGAAAGCCTGCCATCCGAGTCCCAGCGGATCAAATTCTGCCTCTCGGCGGGATCCATGAAGTGGAAGACGAAAAACCTCAACGGCAGAGTCCAAGACACCCTTTGGCCACATGGGAGCCCTGAGAATGTTTGGGACCCCGAGCCCAAGGGCCACGATGCCCAGGTAGCATTCACCCTGCAGTGGGGCCTCAGAGCAAACACGAATCCAAAAACTCAGGACTCGTAACCTCAGCAACAGGAACCATAGCGCTCTAGAGTCGTGGAGCTTAACAGTCACCAGCGCAACCACAAGAGCTTAGGCTTCCATCGATCGTAAAGACTTGCTCTAAAGATCTGTAAAGCAGCAATGGCTTACGCTGCGATCCAAAGACAAACACGAACTTCCGTTCCCTCTCAGAATCGGGTAAGACGCGGGCCGATGCCAGCTTGATCAGCTCGTCAACCTGCCATGTCCAGCTCTTGGGACACCGGAAAACCGTATCCATGCGTGCGCATAAGATACTGCTCTCCTATGTGCAAAATACATATATGCAATGACATGAAGGCATGTAAACCTGTCGTGATGCTAAAGCAAATACATCTGTGCACATACATACATACGTACATACATACGTACATACATACATACATACATACATACATACATACATAAAATGTACATATGAACATATGTACATAAATACGTACATGCATGTGTGCATGCAAGCTTTATAACTACAAACGCGCAAAAAAAAAGCACACGTGCACAGATGCATGCCTACACATACATAAATTGCCAGCTGCCTCGTGCTGCGCACGCTGCTCCGGTGGCAAATGGAAGCTGCGCAAGAAGTTCCGCAACGCCTTCCAAGTAGCAGGTAGCACATGGGCAGGAACGCTGCACTACGACGACTACGACTACGACTACTGCTGCTACTGCTGCTATTGCTACCGCTACTGCTACTGCAACCGCTACTGCTACCGCTACTGCTACTGCTACTGCTACTGCTGCTGCTACTGCTGCTGCTACGTACTACTACCGCACCTACTTCTACTTCTTCATATAGGACGCCCTCTCTCTGCAGCCCGGGCGAAGGCCCGAACTTTGCCCCGTCCGCGCAAACACACGACTTGCGAGGACATCGAAACGCGCTCAGCTTGGAGGCTTTTTCTCGCAAGCTCGGATTCAGGCTTGAGACATCACAGTGCTCGTGCAAGCTGACAGCGATGCATGCTTTACGAAGATGTTTGCTTTTCGTCCGTTCTTGTCAATCAAACTCTGCAGGGGGTGATTACACGCCGCAAGCTGTCATTGAGTTTCGAGGCCTGCAAGTTTTGCAGGCCGTGAGCCCTGCCCCGGGAAAAGAACAGCTGTGATAGCAAACTGCATACTGCTAAAGGTACGTGCTTAAGTGAACTTCGTTTAAGTACGCATCCTGGACGCAGGTGGCTCGAAGGCACTCAGGCTCCCTTGACCTCACACTGAAGCGTTCGGGCATCCAGCCCATGCGGAAGCTACGAGCACACGCGGATTCGAACCTGCGAACAGGCAACTGAGCGCAGAGCTCGCCACACCCATTTGTTCGGGCCCGCCGCGGATCCTTGATATCTCCTCAGCATTGCTGGTACAGCCGGGATGCGAACGACTTCCCGTGATTGCCACTTCTCCCGAAGGAATGCTCGGTGCCTTAGAACGGTAAGCCATGGATCCGAGGGCCGGGCTGGTGAGACTTCCGCCAGCTATTCTGGCGGGACTCAGACTCATACCCGTACCTTGGCGCATGGCACCCACACAGTTCGGTGATTCAAGTGATTACATGACATTACATGACCATGCCACGCAACTTCCGCCACTAAGAGACCTGCCAGGAGGATCTTGGCCAGCCTGGTGGCACGCTCTTACAGCACTGACCACATGCCAAGCTGCGTCCGACACCCAAAGTCGCCTTTTTGGTGCTTCTTTGACCTGAAGTTGTGCGGGCAAAGGCTCTGCGAACGTCATGCGCTAGGAACGACTGAGCCCGCTACCCGGCTGGCTTCCAGCTCTTCTGGATGCTGCCACTGGCCCCTGCAACAAGGATAACGAAGCCAAACCCTGTGACATTCCGCAGCAACACTCATTGTCAATCCCAAGGTAGATTGTAAACAACTCCGGCTATGCTGAAATTTCTCCCGGATTTCCACAGAAGCACTCCGACATGGTTTGCACACTACACAAGGCAAATCCCGAAGGTGCACAAAAACCACGCACGGCATTGGACGGCCTCCGACTGAAGATCCCTCAGCAACCGCGCTCACGGGGGCTGCGGAAACCTTCAGCATGCGGAGTGCGAAGAAGCGACGCACACAAAGCTCTCCGTGCAAGGCCTGTGGTCGTGCCTTTGCCCAACCTCGGCTGTGCGGGCTTCTGCTGATCCATTTCCCTGACGAGGGTCATGCCGACCGCACTGCAACTTCCAGTGGGACTCGTCACTCGACACTGACGAGAGGCAGCCCAAAAGAGGAGCTTGCGCGCCCTCAGAGGAGCGGCACTTCACATTTTGAGTGCCTCTCATATCCTTGCTCTGCTGGCCATGCCCACTGAGTTCACAGCAGCTCCGAGCTGTGGGAAGTCCTGGGTGGGAGCCAGCAAGCGGGATCCGCACGAAGGCTCGAGCAGTTCCGATACTTGGTTTCGTGCATCTGCAGCCCAATGAAACATTCCTGCAAGAGAGGGCAAAGGTTGCACTGCCACGAGCTGCAGCGGAAGCACGCAAGGCCGAGGGCCAGGCTGGACTGTGGGAGGGGAGCCCTGTGAAGGTCGGCAGACTAGGCTTCTTTGGTCCAAGAGCAGCTGCGATTCTTAGTGATTCCGCTGACACCACTACCACTACCCTTCATTGCAACTACTACACTTGTTGCCAGCATCACTTGTCTTGTTCCGACTCGGCGGCGTTATGAAGTGAAGGCCCTCGCCTTCTTCACCCAGGGCCACTCATGGCCGGATGGGGCTAAGGTGGAGGACACCTCCCAAAGACAAGGCGCTGTAGAGAGAAGGCACTCTTTCCAGCAAGTGGGCTTCGTAAGCTGGGCGGCGATGGTGGATGTGGAGGTGGACTGCACCCATGCTCTCTGCATTACAGTCGAAGCAACGGACCACAATTTACACCCTAAAGTCCGACGGAAAACCCGAACCCGAAGAACAGAGACTGATTTGGAACGACCCCTTTCATGGGGGGCCAGCGCCGAAGCCTAAACCCTAAACCCTAA